CCCATCCCATCCCATCCCATCCCATCCTTCTGTTTGTCCTGGGAGGAGAGGGACAGAAAACACCCCACAGCTTCTATTTTTCAAGAGGAGGGGAGCAGGCAGGCAACCACTGGTTTTGGGATCCCCCTTCTCCATCCCTGGGGCTATGTAGGCAGGAGGTGCTCACAGAACCTTTGCTCTCGGGCTCCACCATTCCCCTCCCCACTGGTGTGACTCACGCTCCAGCGTTCACTTTGATGGATGCCACCTCCTTGTTGCCCCAGCCCATGGCCTGCAGCGAGGGGTAGTCATCGCTCAGCTCGAACTTGTGGCCCTGGAAGTTCTCCGCCTCGTAGAGGATGACTTTGCTGTCATTGTGGTTCTGTAGAGGGAGAGGGCAGGAACAGTGTAGCAGGGATAAGGGGATGTGGCATTGGGCGCCAAATGCCAGGGCACAGTGGGAGTCCTAGGACCACGTCCAGCTTTGGTGCAGGACCTGGGAATGCCCTTCAGGCTGGTATCCCCTCACTGAGATACCCCAGGGCTGCTCAGAGGATGCTGCTCTCACATCCCTGTGGTCCCCATGCACAGCTACCAGGAGGGTGACAGCAGCCACATCCTCTGCACCCACATGGGTTCCTGCCCTCAGCATCCTTGTGCTCCCCAAGGCTGCAGAGGGATTACAGGGCAAAACAGGCAGCTGAGAGTGGTCCCCCCATATCTGCGGGGCTTTGCTAGGTGCTGGGCACCGAGGGGTTAATTGCTGGGACACTGAGTGATGCAGTACTGTCCCCCATGCCCAGCCCCCACACACATCTATCTGCACCGAGGAGCAGTCCTGCCAGTAAGGAGTGATCTTATCGCATCCCCTTTATTAAAGCCCAAGCATATCTGCCTGGTGATTATTAAAAGTTGGGGGGGGACCCCCCGCTCGGAGGCGCAGACGTGCTGCTATTGCGAGCACCAGTGTCTCTGCAAGATGGAGCGATAGAGGCTGCATCTGCCTGGGCACGGCTTGGGCACCAGAGGCGGGAGGGGGACAGACCCTGCATCCCAAGCATCCTTGCAGTCCTGCCAGCTCCTCTCTGCTCACCCTATGCCTGAGTATCCAGGCTGGGATGGGGGACAAGGCCTGGGGACCCCAGAATACACAAAAGCAGAAGGAGCTGAGATGGTGTTTCAGGCTAAATTCTAAGCCTATGGAGCATCCCAGGATCCTTACAGGGAGACAGGAGCCAGTGGTGCAGCTGTCCCTCCATCCCACAGCACCTACCTGCACACCTCACTCCTCCATCCCAAATCCCACGTAACCTGTCCTCCTGTCTGTCCCTCATCCACCCTCTATCCTGGCTCTCCCTCCATGGAGGGCTGCCGAGGAGTGGCTCTGCCTGCAGTGGGGTCCCCGTAACTCACCGCACACTTGATGGGCCGGAAGGAGAGGAGGTGCTCAGTCCGGTAGCCACTGTTCCCGCTCCAGGCCTCCCACCGGGGATAGTCACCCTTCTCCAGGATAAACTGCTGCCCCTGGTACTCGGGGTACTCGAAGCCCACCCAGCTGGAGAGGAGAGGAGGAAAGCCCTCAGGGATGCGCAGCACAGCCCCTAGGCTCAGCCCAGGGCCGGCTTCTCCCTGACACGCAGGAAACGGAGACATCCCAACAGGGTCTGAGTCTGCCATGGAGGTCAGGGCTCTTCCCAGCAGCAAACATCCCATTTAAGAGTGGGACCCCTCTCCACAGGGCTATACCATCACCTCCGACCCAAGCCTTGGCTTAGCAGGGTCTCACTGCTTTGCCAATGGGGAAACTGAGGCACCACACAAGGAGCACAGGGAAGGAGGTCGCATGTTGAGGCTGTGTTGGAGCTGAGGAAGGACCCGGGTGTCCTGGCTCCTGGGCAGCTCCCAACAGTCCCCTGGGAGGAGCAGGTTCACGGGGCTGGCGGGGCACTTACGGGCCGGACTCCACCTTGATGGAGCGAATCTTGCGGAAGCCGCGCTCCATGATGCTGGGGCACTCCATGAGGAACTCGCAGCGCTTGCCCTGGAAGCTCTCTTCCTCCCACACCGTGATCTTGTACTGCCCCAGGGTGTCCATGGCTTCGCTGCTGGTCATGCGGGTCGCTCGGCTGCTGGCAGAGCCCCACGCATCACCCTGGGCAGGTGCCCACCATCAGCCCCCAGCCTCTCTGCTGCCTGGCACCAAGCCTGGGGTGCCAGCAGTGTTGCCCTTGCACATCCCATGCTGCTGGCCTCTTGCCCTCCCAGACTGGCACAGGGAACACTTCCCATTCCCCTCCCTTCAATGCTATGGGTTCTCTATCCGTTGATCCCCAAGTTGCAGGGGGCACTTGTGATACCCTGTCTCTCCATGTGATGTACCCGGGGCTGCCTCAGTTTTTCTGCTCCCAAGCCCCCTGAGATGATTCCTGGGGTCGTCTAGGTACAGTGGCACTGTACCCAGTGGGGAGGTGGCAGTGATCCTGACTCAGACATGGGTGTGGGGTGCAGCCCTGGGGCAGAGCAGCCCAGCTTTTGCAAAGATGGGTGCCAATATCCCTCCTGCCCACACAGGGTACCCCAGCAGTGCAACGCAGCAACCCCTGGCTTGCCCTTCCCCAGAGTGTGCATTTGGGGGATAGGGGGAAGGCTTGGTATGGGGGTCAAAGGGAGCATGGCAGCGCCTGTGCAGTGGGGGGGGCTTGGGGGCTCACAGCCTGGTACTTACTTGGTCGGCAGGGCACAGAGGCGAAGGTGGCGGTGCCGGCGCCGGCTTCTCCCCTCGCCCTTTATAGGCGGGTGCCGAAGTGCCGATGGTGCAGGCAGGCAGGGCGCTGTGTCAGCAGGCAGGGGTTGGGGGGGGAACGGGGTGCGCACCCACCCCAGACTCTGGCTGTCCATTCCAGTTAGGCAGTGTGGCGAGAGCGGCCCCCCCCGCGGCCGGCCCCCCCCGCGCCCCGCGGGGCTGACAATGAAAGTGCTGGGCTGTGTTTGCGCAGGGGCTCAGGGCACAATGGGCAAAGGGCCTGACGCGCCGCTTTCCTTTCTGCCCTCGGACAATGTCCCCGCTTGGCCCACGGATTAGGGACCCAGCCTTTCCCAGGGCACCCACAGCCTTTGCCAGGGTTGAGGCTGGCGGGAAGGAGGTGCCAGGGTGAAGTGGGGATTTGCCAGCTGGGACCTGCGGGGGATTGATGCCCTCGCACTGGGAAGTGGGGCTTTCCTGGGCCTGTATCTTCTCCTCTGGCTGTGGCTCTGCCACTGCAGGTCCTTCCTCTGGCCAGGCTCTGTCTTGCACGTCCCGAGCTGACAGGGCAGGGACTCAGTCTGTGCGAGCAGGGCTGTGTGTGTGTGGGGATGGGAGAGGGTCAGAGTGAGCAAGAGGGGTGGAGGAGGTGTTTGACACAGCCACAGCTTGGTCAGTCCGTTCTCTGGGAGATGTGCAATACCTTGCGGAGGTCCCTGTGTTGGCTCCAGACCAGGCACTGATGGACCCCAGTTACATGCTTCTCACTTGCAATGCTCTGGGCATGTCCTCTGATGTGGCAAATGGCTCCCCATGCTCTCCATGCACCTCCTGCCCAGGCAGGGGACACCTTGCACAGCAGGAGGGCACCTGCTCCGGGCCACAGCTCTGTCCTTCACTTGGGCAGCAGGATCAGCCCTACCTAGAACTGCACTGTGCCATGCAGACACGCCCAGTGTCCCTCACCAGGACCTGGGCTGGATGAGACCAACACAGGTTTGAAAAGGAGCGCCCAGCTCAGCTGTGAAATCCCAGGTCTCGGGGCCCCCCCCTTCAGCGGGGCAGGAGCCACGCTGGCCTCTGGGCAAGGGCTGGCCCAGAGCACCCCAAACCCTCCCAGGAAAACCTGGAATATCCTGGGGGTCCTGAGCAAGGGCTCAGCATCCCAAGAGAGCACAACCAGTGCTGGTGATGGACGGCACGGTGTGGACAGCTGGGGGTGGTGTTAGGACGCCTGGCATCTCTTTCCCATTCTTAGCAAAAGTTGGGGATGGAGGGGTGACAGCAGGGAGGGGCTGGGGCTGGACACCCGTGTGTCCTCTCCATGTCCCCCTCGCTGCTCACCAGGGCGCCGGGCAGCGTTTCCCGCTTTGCTCCGAGGTTCGGATGCGCCGATGCCTGCAGGTCCCAGCAGAGGGTGCAGCCTGGCAGCGGTTGGAGCTGGCTCCACCGAAGAGACATTGGAGGCCTTGACCGGGGACAGACGCTGGGGAAGTGACCCTTAGCTTGCGACGCCCTGGGTGCTCGCAGCAGAGGGGGGAGACCCCCTGCGAGCTGCCTGGGGGAGCAGAAGGTGGGGGGAGGGATGGAGATGCTTCTCGGGGAAGGAAGGCGATGCACGGGGATAAGCAGACCCTGGGATGCAGCACCCAAGCCCCAACCTCACCTCGATGGGGGCTGGAGAGGGCACAGCCTGGCTCCATCCACCCTTGGCTCCCCACACATCCTCCCTCTGTCTGCTTCACTTCACCCATTCCACCCTCTGCCCACCCGTCCAGCTGTATGTCCCCATCTGTCTCCATCCCTACCAGTCGCACGCTGTGGCACTGCTATGGCCTCTTTTTCAGATGCACAAATTACCTCTGAGTCCCAGGGTTGCATCAGCTCTGTGTGGGGCATGACCTGGTGATGCTGTCCTGCTTGCTGGCTAAGGAGGTGCTGGCTCAGGGTGGCCTGGGAACGTTCCTCAAAGCTCTGGGGCACAGGTTTGGGCAGCCACAACACCTGGGGGAAGGTGGAGCAAGATGCAGAGCTAACACACTCCAGCATCCCCCCACGCTGCTGCTGCCCCTCACTGAGGCTGTGTGAGCAGAGCCATAAGGCACTGGCTAGTTTAGGGTGCTATGGGGTGCAAGAGCACTGTGGCTATGGGGTGCAGGGCACTGCAGGGTGTATTGCAGAGCCCCAGAGTGTGAGGCACCACAGAATATGTGGGATGCTGTGGGCTGCTGTAGGGTGAGCATACGGAGTGTGTGAGGCACTGCATGGTGTGCTACAGGATCTATGGGGCACTGGTGCTGTGCCATGAGGGGCACGCAAGCAGCTCAAACAGTCACCTCCATATAACGCTTTGGATAAAAGCATCTGGAAGGGGGGACAGGGAAGAAACCCACCCCCCAGGTGCGGGCTGTGCCCCATCCTTGCTTCTCAGCCGTGTCCCACATGCTGGGATGTGTCTCACCCGCCACTCAGCACATCCAGGGCAGCCACGTGGAAGCCACTGCCACATGTGGGTTGGGGAGGTCGTCCACATGGGGCCATGCCCAGGGACCTTCCCCACTGTACCCCAGGGTTCTGATGCTCCCGGGGACATTTCCCAGCACCTCCAGGCAGTCCCTGTCACCTACCAGCATCCCTGCAGCTGGGTCACCTGCCTGGCCGGGAACAGGGGCAAGAGGAGGCTGGTGCGGGGGTAGGCAGCGACTCTGCTCAAGGGCAGCTGTTACCATCGGCTCTGGGAGTCAGTGAGAGCTTGCCCAGGGCCTCCTGCATAGGCTAATTTAATAAGGGCTCCGCGTCGCTGCCGGCTCAGCCTGTTCCCTGCGCTAGCAAAACAGATCAGGTTTCTCCATGCCACCAGGCACAGCGTGGGTGGCTGCAGCCCAGGGGCACGGTGGGAGGATGAGGTTGCTCCATGCCAAGCCCAGACCATGCTCCCTGTGGTCCCTGGCCATGGGGTTATACCCCATGCCTTGTGCAGGCATTGGTGCTGAGACAGTTTGCAGTTTGGGGAGCTGAGCAGGGTGAAATGCAGCAGCATGGGAGGTGAGGCAGGTGCTGCTTGGTCATCCTGATGCTGATGCCACATCTGGGGCACATCTGGGGCTCATAGCAGCACATTGTCTTTCCCACCGCTGTTATGAGTACCCGGGCTAGCTGACTAGGTCAGCACAGCTGTGTGTGGTCCTGCATCTGGCTGACATCTGGCTGACTGAGCCCTGGCCAACCCCTCTGAGACCCACTAGCCCCTCTTTCCTTGCCCCCAACCCACTGAGGGCTGCACCATCACCCCAAGGGGCTGGAAGTCCAGGGGCTGGGCCGAGCAGGAGCAGATGGAGCTGGTGCCAGCCCCTGTTTGTCTTTCTTCCAGTTGCCTGGTGCTCTGTTTGTTCTGGAGACGGCTTCCTGCTGCCAGGGCTGAAACAGGTGGCTTTTATTTGCAGGGTCTGGCTGATTAGATCAGGGGCAGTGTGTCATTCCCCCCACCCAGCCCCACAGCTCTTTTTTCCTCCCTTTTCTCCCCCAGCCTCATTTTGTTGGGAAATCATACTCCTCAGCAAGGTTGCAAGCAACCCCCTTCACTCCCCAAGCATCTCCCCTTCAGCGCTGCTCTGAACATGGCCACACTAGGATTGGTGACACCCAGCCAAAACCCCCACTTCCACCTGCTGGGTTCCCCAAATCCCAGAGCTGAGGGACTCGCTGGTGTCCCCAGTGCCACTTGTCCCCTCCCGGGGCCTTGCTGGCCACGGAGGACACACGTGTGCAGGCACACACCAGCTGCAGGAGCCTCCTTGCTCAGGGAGCCCCGCGGGGCACACGCCAGCCGCCCTGCATGCACGTGTCCCCGTGTCCCCTCCCCGCAGCCGGAAACTCCCGGGCTCACAAACAGCCTGGCAGATGTTGCCGGGATTACCTCCCACACAGGCACACACGCACAGCGTGGGCTGCCAGCCGCTCTGGGCCCAGAGAGGTCCCAGGCACTCAGGATCCCCCGGAGACAGAGCTTGGTGGATACCTGCCCCAGCTCCAGCTGCACTCAGGGAAGGATGAGGCCTCAGGGTGAGCAGCCAGTGGGAGAGGGACCCGGATGGGAACTGGGGACCAAGATGCTGACTGGTCTCTATGTAACTTTGCCAATGGCTGGAGCAGGGACGTGCTGGAGCGTGCTGCCACTTGCAGTGCAAGGGGTACCCATGTTTGCCCAATCACAGCTGGATCTTCCAAACAGCCTGCTGAGGTGGTCTTCCATGCAGCACCATCCCCCTAGCTTCAACCCTCCTCAGGTACCTGTGGTCCTCAGCCAGCCACCTGTCTTCCTGCTGGGACTGGCTCTCCAGACCTGCATACCCGCTGCCCCCACAGGCACCCCTGGCCACGCTGCTCACCTCCTCTCAGTGGGACCATGGGTGCCCACTCTGCCCTGTGGCAGCCACAGCTCTGGAGATGCATCCTTGAAGACCCACCAAGACAAGGATGCTCCCAGGGGCACACACTCACCTCCTGCCACCCATCCAGGACTTGCCCTGCCTGGACCTGGCTACAGGCTGCCCTTGTCATGAGGGCATGCTCAGTCCCCCGTCTCTGCCAGCCTTGCTTGGTCCCCAGGAGTTGCCGGGGGAGCCGTGGCCTCACCTGCCAGCTCCCCACTGTTCCCATGGGGACTAATCCCACCTGAAGGTCAGGGATGCTCCGCCAGCTGCTCACCTCCTGCCTGTGGATTACAGCCTGGGTGTGAGCAGGTGGCAACTGCCACGTCCCCAGGCTGGCCCAACCCTAGTGTGGGACTGACAGTGGGACCAAACCCAGCCAGGCTGCTCCAAAATGGGCCTCAGGGTGGTGGGTCTCTGGCAGCCTCAGCTGTCCCCTGCCACATCCATCATACCCTACCCAGATGGGGATACCTGGCACTAGGGCAGAGAAGCTGGTTTCTGGTCCTTGGCTCCAGATCCTGACCCGAAATGGAGCCTGCTGGTGTTAACCACTGTGACC